ACTCCATAGCCACTTTGTTTTCAAGAAACTGCATTAGTAGCGTCAAATACACACCAGCCATCCAGATAGCAGAGTGTTGCAAATTCACCTCTGCTCAGAAAATTTTAGGAAAGGTTGCTTTAACAATGTTCAAACAAAAATAAAAGCAAGTAACCATGTTATTATAACCATCTCAAAGTGAACTTACCTCTCACACCATCAGTTATTCCAAGCTTCACAAGTTCCTCTGAAAGAAAAAGGAAAGGAATAAAAAATCATCATAATTCAAGTTAAAGTGTGTATCACCTTCAGTCAGAGGCTCATAGAATGACATGTTAATCCCCCTCCCACCCTCCCTTCCCACAAAAATAAAAGGAGTAAAAAGAAAACCTTGGATAGTTTGAATTCCGGATTGTATACGCTTTCCAGAGTCCTTAAAATTTCCTTTTGGACGACTCAACGCAACCATCATAAGATCAACAAGAGCATAAACCGCACTTTTTGGTAGCCATTCCCCATCAAGAGGAGGCGGTGCTAGCTCAAGCTTATCTCCATATGTTCGTTTCATATTTCCAAAATATGCTGGTTCCAGGGACCCCGGGGCAGTTGAACTCCATGTTGAAAGACTAGAGAGCTGGTGTTGAAGCCGAGCCTGTTTTTCAGACAATGCTGACCTCTCCCTGTGGTGTAGATCAAACCGGGAAAGACTCTGATTTACAGCATCGAGTTCCCTTCCCAGCTGCTGCACATGCTGCATTTGCTGCAAATCGGCCTTCATAGCAGCATCCAATCTTTCTACATGTGCTCCAGCATTCTTGTAGTCACATATCCGGAGTCGGTAAAATATGTGCAGCAGTTCATTATAGAACAGTAAACCAAGGCATTGTTGCCTCTTTATGGGTGTAACCAAGCAAGAACAAGTTAAAAGTAAAACAAGCAACCATTATCAGCATTACGGAAAGTATGAATTAGAATAAGCAATGTAAAAAACTATTAAGACTGCAAGATGGGAACATACTTTCTGCGGGTCTAAGGACTCCCACACTTCATTGCATTTGGTAACAGCTCGCTCAACGGTACTCTCATCATCCCATTGCATTAGGTGTACATGAAGGATAGAAGTTGCAAAGAACATCTAAATCCAAAATGAGTAAATTAAGCCATGAAATTAACCTACAAGTAATGCTATCTTGCCAGACAGTTTCGTTTACCTGTAACTCGGGATAATATATTTCAGCAGCGCAAACAAAACCGGCCTCCAAGGCGGAGATAGAACTCCGGTAATCCCCTTCGATGATCAGAGCATTTGCAAGCTGAGAATTGAAGTTGCAAGACCATAGCTTGACCGTAATTCTTCAACAACAACACCAATATGAGATTTTAAGTTCCAAATACTTGAACAAAAACAACAATTACAAAAACGAAACGTCAAAAGCTAAAAACGAAATGGGTATCAAAAGGGGTCGGAAAATTAAGCATTAAAAGTAGGGAAATTGAAGGCTACTAGCACTGCTACTACATACTCGTGGCCGGCGGAAGCGGAAAGCTCGAGGGCTTTGTGGAGGATCTGCTTCTGCGGCGGAATGGCGCCGACGAGGTGGTAGCACTGGCTGAGGAGGCTGTAGGCGCGGCACTTGAGGTCGAAGCAGGAAGGAATGGACTTGAGGAGCAGTTGAGCTCGCTCGAGGTGCGACTTGGCGTGGTTGACGTTGTGCGAGTGCTTCAGGAGCAGGGTGGCGATACGGAGGCGCGTTTTGACTTCGACGATGGGGAAAAACGACACGTCGCTTTGGCATATGGCTTCCAGGCACTTCACCGCCCTCCCGATCTCCCCTTTCTGCTCCTGGTGGTCCGCCAGCGCCCACAGCCCCTCCGCCACCGCTTCCATCTCTCTCTCTCTCTTAATTTTAATTAATTGAGTAATTTCATGGAGAAGATCGGGAATTTGCTGGGAATTTGGGAGGGAGAATCAGTGAGTTGCAGAGTTGTGGACTGTTTGCGTTCAGTAAGTCAAACGACATTACCAATCCGGCGGTCCAGAGCCCCTCGCTTTTTTAGTTGCGTATCTGAAGCATACGGCAGGTCGTTTACATTGCGGAGCATTCCGTCCCATCTATGAGGATTTGATAATTGAATCCGATCTGCGTACGAAACGGTACATGAAGATACCAAAAATGAATGACTCAGATTTAGGGGTGTATTTAATTGAGAATTTGAGAGACTTTAATGAATTTATAAATTCATGAATTTTCAGATTTAGGGGTGTATTTAATTGAGAATTTGATAGACTTTAATGAATTTATAAATTCATGAATTTTCATGGAGTTTAATTGATTTGTAGATATTCCATATAAAATTTTGATTCAATTCCCTCGAAATCTCATGAGGAGATGTGAGATTTGTGGATGCTTAAAATATACTACGAAATCTCTCAAATTCTCTCAAATTCCTCAACTTTCTCAAATTCTTTAAAATCAATTTCTAATTGAATACATCTGGAATGTTATAAACTTCTTTAAAATCCTAATTGAATACATCCGGATTTTTACGGATTTTAATAAACTATATTAAAATTCTAATTGAATACACCTTGAATTTCAAATAATCACTTAAAATCCTGATTGAATACTCCTAGATTCATTAAAAGAATTAAAATCTCTCAAAATCCCAATTTAATACACCCCCTTAAAATAAAAAGTTTATATGATAGTAAAAATCAAATTTAACCGTTAAAATATTTGTTGCATTGAATGATACTGTCTCACCTCATATTTGGTCTTTGTAAAGTTTGGCTAGACAAGTGTGTTTCTCCATGTGCGCACATTATCAAAATTTTCTCAAAATCTAGATAAATTTTGTGTAAAATATAATCTCCTCACAAAGTGGAATGAATACCCTCGTGGGTGGGGGGATAATGATTTACATGAAATCAGTTCACTAACACGTAGCATCTCCTATCCAGTAATACATAATCATTGAATTTTTTTTCTCCACATGTCAATGTATTAAGTTGTTCTTGGTTGTGGGAGGGGGTGGGTGAAGTGACAAGGAATTCAAACTCAACGCAAAAAAAAAGTATAGATAATATCAGGAAGACCAAATTTTTTAGGGGTGTGCTATCCACACACCCATGATTACTTCTCACACACCCTTTGTTAATTTATATCCGTTAATCTTCTTCAATCCATCCAATCCGACGACCGAAAATTAGAAGGGTGTGTGAAAAGTAAAAATGGGTGTGTGGATATCACACCCCATTTTTTAATCCAAATATGCAAACCAAATGATATGGTTGTTGATAATTAAATTATTACTTAAGCGTTGATTACCGTGCTTATTTTCTACTGGCGACACATCAATTGGTTTGTAAATTTATTTTAAAAGTTTGGTCTCTCTATTATACCCAAAAGGTATACCTACATTACTTAACGTCACATCTGTAACTCTTTAGGCTTTAGGTTAGTTGGTTAAGGTATCAAATATGGTTTGTAAAGGTTGGCAGATCAACAAATAAAGCGTCACGGAGATTTGCACCTCCAAATTCACAACCTTCCAAGCAAAAAGCATCTTCAAAGACCGCACCCTCACCCTCAGCGTCCACATAACTGAAGTCAGCGTCTGCCAAGTCTAGTTGCGTCTGCCAAGTCTAGTTTCGAAAGGTGAAGGCTAGAGAGGTTCGACTATAAAATCAATTAACAATATGGGAAGTAGTTAAAGACCATATAAACACAGAGCAAACTTTGTCCCTCACCGAAGTGGGACAACTCTCAGTACGCCCCCGCACGTGTGGTAAATTTTCAATCCTATATGTGGACAACAACTGGGTGACATGGAGTGAGTGTGACCGTTGGGCTTCACACGTGGACAACCTTGCTCTGATACCATAATGAAATTGAGGTTCCACCGTAAAACCAATTGACAATATGGGAAGTAGCCCAAAACCATATAAGCACATAGCAAACCTTGTCCTTCACCGATATGGGACAACTCTCAACATTTGATCATCCTCCATCTTGTTTAGAGAAACAAGTATGCCATCCTTTCGAATGAAACCATATCCCTTTTCAGGGTCCCGATGGACAAGACAACACGACGTCCACTAAACGTTGCAGCATTGCAGCAAGTATTGAATTATGCCTAAACGGAGACTTGCCCCGATAAATGAAGATGATGCTTTCTTCTCCATGTTCATAGCTTTCTCTTTCTATGTAAGAGTTCTACAGTCTGTTTACGAAAACGTGAAAGGGTTCATGAACTGGATACAGATCGAAGGCACCCTATAACATATATGATCAAATCCTAAACGGAATTGGAACAAGTTAACAAAACTCAATTGTAGAGAGACAAGTTCTCTTTAATGTTATAAATGATATGATTAAACTGCACCTTCGTCTCTAACAGATATAGCTGAGTGAAAGTAGTGTCATCTCACAGTTTGTCTGAAGACGTGGTGTTACAAGTTCATGCAAATAACCATGTCTGTCACTGTATTCAATTAGGATTTTAAGGAATTTTAATTCTTTTAATGAATCTAGGGGTATTCAATCAAGATTTTAAGTGATTCTCTAAAATTCAATGTGTATTCAATCAGGAGTTTAAGATAGTTTATTAAAATCCTAAGAAATTCGGGTGTATTCAATTAGAATTTTAAAAAAAGTTTATAACATTCCAGATGTATTCAATTAAAATTTGATTTTAAAGAATTTGAAAAAGTTGAGGAATTTGAGGGAATTTGAGAGATTTTGTAGTGTATATTAATCATCTACAAATCTCACCTCTCCCCATGAGATTTCGAGAGAATTGAATCAAAATTTTACATGAAATCTCTACAAATCAATTAGATTCTATAAAAATCCATGAATTTATAAATTTGTTGAAATCACTCAAATTTCCAATTGAATACACCCCCTAAATCGGTGTACTCAATCCAAAGGACTGAATAAAAATTCAAACAAAATTTAGGTTTGTAGCTCCAACGAGACATATTAAGGTAAAGAAAAACAAGCCTAATGAGAGGAGCAAGAAAATTTAAACCCGTCAATGAATAACACCAGAAAATTGTGCACTCTCGGAATGTTGCCAATTCACATCTTCTCCACAAGCACCTTCAAGATTTGCATCCTTAAAATATGTATTGGACATCATCTAAAGACTCATCAAGTATGCCTTATCCAGACTGGCCGCCTCTAAATTTGCATTTGTAAGATCAGCACCATGGAGCTCTGCAGATATCAAATTTGCGTTGTAAAGGTTAGCACCAACAAATAAAGCGTTGCGGAGATTCGCCCCAATAAATTCAGAACTTTGCAGACTAGCATGTTGAAAGATGGCACCCTCAGCATCCGCGTGATTAAAGTTTGAACCTCGAAGATCACAACCCTTGAAACACACATTTCTCAGACATGCATAACTGAAGTCAATGTTTGTCAAGTCCAAGTTCGAAAGGTTAAGGCCGGAGAGGTTAACGCCTCGAAGCCGGATTCTCTCATTTGATTTTATACATGATTTGATGATATCAATGCGCGTTAGTTCTGCACCCAACTTTTCAGTGTTTTGATCATCATCCTTCCTCATGTTTAGAAAAGCCTGTATTATATCTCTTAGACCAAGTAGTTGATAATACTCCGCCTCTCTTACAAGTTCCGAATATTTGGAAAATTCTTCCGGCGAGGGAACAACTCCATCCCTTAACCAGTTAAGGATGTGCCGAAAATGTTTGCCATCCCTGTCGATGAAAACAAATCCCGTTTCCGGGTCCTGATGGACAACATGACGTCCACTAAACATTGCAGCAAGCATTGAATTAGGCTCACGCCGAGTTAGAGTATCAACCGTTGTACAAAACTCCCTCACTCCGATCTTGAGATAAACTGTAGAAAAGATGTTAAGGTCCTTCGCCATTGCCTTGAAACTTTCCGATCATATAACTTTTTGATACGCTGATGACCGATCATGTAACTTTGAAATCTCTATAGCATTGTGTTTTTATGCGCCGCGGACCCTCCCTTAAGTAAATGCAGTAGGCATAAATTAATCACAAAGATTTGTAATTAATCACACATCGATGTCACCAATAGGAAATAAGCAGCTTAATCAACACTTAATAATAATCCAATCATCAACAAAGTAAATTTTATAAAAATCTAATGTTTAATTTCTCAAGATTTCTCAATCCTAAAAGGTGTTCCTTTTTTTGGTATTCTAACATTGATGAATATTCTTGTATTATTGTTCCAGTTTTTAGTTATATCTATTCATTCTGATGAATAAATGCATTACTATTTTATATAAAAAAAATTAATTTTTTTTTAACAAACGATATTATATACATTAAGGGGAAGAGAGTGGAAACCCGTAAATGAAAGCTAAATCGTGGATTCAAAAATATGTTATCTCCTCGTGCATTAACCGTTATGGGCGAAAATCCAATCTTTTAATGATAAGGCTTATCTTCATAATGGCCAGCAATAATGAAGTTCAAATTCGCCTTTGACGAGAATCGGATCTAAGATCTCTCACTTACAAGTGAAGAGGAATACCACTAAACCGTAATACTAAGTGGCATAAGAAACGTTATTTAAATTGCAAGATTCGTTTTAATTTATTTATATATTTACCTGTGGGAATGCATATGTTGGATAGGAAATCTACTAGCAGAATTGTGTTCATTTGGTTTTGTCTTTATCCTCAATTTAGAATACATCATATGAGAATTGCGTGATTGTGTAACGAAAAACACCAGACAAACAACAAACAAATTGATTACAATACTACGAATATTACTTTATTACCAAAAAAACAAAGACTATAAATATGCTGAGATGACTACATCTTGCCATGACTTATTATTCTACGAGTTACAAGGTAACTTATTCATAAAGAAAACTAAAGCAAACCCTAATACCTAATGAGTAAGAAATCATAAACTTAACCGGTAAGGAATCCTAATCCTTGGCTCATAAGAAAACAAATAAAATAAGAATAATAATAATAATAATACTAATACTAATTGCCAACATGTAATTCATAGGGATGTTAAACTAGGTGTAGTCAAATTCGGATTTGAGAGGATTTTAAAAGACTTTAAAATCCTAGTGTAGTCAATTAAAAGATTTTAAAGGATTGTAGAATCCATTCAAATCTACGTGTAGTCAATTAAAAGATTTTAAAATCCATCCAAATCTTGTATAAAAAAAAAAAAGATTTTGGAGGATTTCAATAAATTGTGGATTTTGTGGGATTTGAGAGCAAAAAGTATATATAACCAAGACTAAAAAGAATCCAACCTCACCCCCTAGGATTTCAAATCCTTCCACCACAATCCACCACAATCCATTCAAATTCTTTAAAATCCATATGAATTTTGTAGAAGTCTTTAATCCTCTTTAATCCTATAAAATCTATCACTTAATCTAATAATTAATTCTTAACAAACGATATTATCTACACTAAGGGGAGGGGTTAGCTTAGCCTCACAATGGACTAACAATAATGTGGTTCAAATTCGCAATAATCGAACCTAAGAACTCTCACTCACAAGTGAAGAGGAATACCACTAAACCGTAGTATTAAGTGACAATCTAATATTTAATTAAAACACTAATGATAATTTGACAAACCTGGAGCAGCCACTGATCACGAGAAAAGATTGCTTAAGCACCAAGGTGGATGGAGAATAGAAAGCCTTTTGTTGAGTGTGTTAGCATGTGCAGAGAGACCCTTGTATATTTATACACGTTGGAGGTCCTAGCTAGAGTCCTGTCGATAATTAACCTCCCAAATCTTTCTTGATGCCGTCTAACAAGACTTCAAATCCATATGGTTTTAGAACTCCTGTAGCCTCCCTTGGTGGAGTCCTAAACCCTAGCTAAAGCACAAAAACCCTGGCTAGTAGGATAAACAGCCAACGAGAAAACTGTCGCAGGCTTAAAACATAAATTATGCACAAACCTAAACGGAATTGGAACAACCAAGGTAATACAGGCTTAAAACAAGAGAACAAAGAAAAATCTAAAGAGCAGAACCCCAAGCTCGTTCTTTTATCAAATTTCCATCTTAACTTTTGAAGGCCATATATTTTTTATTCGAAAAAGTTTAGGGGAAGATTGGTTGCTCTCACCACCAGCGCTAGGGCATACTCACAACCTGAAGTCAGAATGACTTATGGTGAAGCTACATAGGGGCGGCCGCTGCTCCCCTCGTCGGAAATCAAGTCCAGGAGTAGTGGTTCCGGCCCTTTGGTCCCGTTAGAAGCGATGAAGTTCATCTGTATTTCTGGGTTCCATTGCTGCCCGCAAGTTCTTTTTTCTGAGCTATTTGTCGGTTTGCCCCCTAAACTTTTATAATTAGCCAATTTCCCCCTAAACTTTAACTTTAGCCGATTATTCTCCTAAAATTTTATAAATAGCCAATTCCCCCTACCATTAGATTTTAAATTTTTCATTCAATTTTCATCCAACCAATTTTCCATTCTTTTTGTCCCTATACAATTGTCATGTGTTGTCCGCATGATCAAAATGGGTAAAAAATTGGATGAAAATTTTTAAATCTAGCGTTAGGGGGAAATTAGCTATTTATAAAAGTTTGTTGTACATACATTGCTGATTGAAACGTCAAAATTTTCAAATTCATTGTATTTAATTAAGCAATTGAGGCTGATTAACTGCAACACATTTTATAAGACATTTGATGATTCTTGTTCCTAAAAGTTGTTTGGGGTGTTAGTTAAATTTAGATTTTTCATGTATTTTGGGCTAATATACTATTTTTGTTCTAACTGCTGCATGAGCTTTGTAGTGGGGAATTTGGCGTGAGACAGCTTGATGATTCTACTTTGCTTCGTTCACGGGACAAGCCGAGAAGGAGTTTAAGGTCAAAGTGGAAGCGATTGGCCGTGTTCGCCGTAAGAATCTAGTGAGGTTGCTTGGTTTTTGTGCTGAAGGAGCTCATAGGTAATTTGATCTTCATTTTCTTTATCGTGTATACTTTCGAGTTTCGCTCTTTTGTTTAATGCGTGACCTTCTCTTGATGGCTAATTTGTTAAGAATCTTTGTGATTATTTCTTCTTTTTGGATTAACTATAATATATATTTGCCTGAAATGATTGCGCTAATGCAGTAGAGTTTTTGTAGGATGTTGAGGAAAAAAACTTAGAGTACACAACTCTAACACAAGTGTTGGAAATGCAACACAAGTAAACAAATTACTTGTATTACACACAAAATATTACAACACACAAAACTCTCAAAGACACTTTAGAAGCAATGACACTCACTTATTTTCTAGAGACAAATTCTAGACTGCTCACACTCCTCACAAGATTATTCTTACTTCTTCTTGATTGGTTCTTTCTTGATTGATTGGTTACATAGCACCACACCCATATTTATAGGCATGTTTGCCGACTAGCACTTTCTAGTGCATATTCATGCACACACTGCACCGACGTACAAGCCCTTCTTAGTAGCCGACTTTATTACTTGGCTAAGAATGCCCATCTAGATTATTCTTTAGTGTTTTAGATTACTCTAGAATTTGGTTTGCTAACCAACTTCTTATTCTAGAGTTATGTAGGAATTTCTTCACAAATAAACTGGGCTTAATTAAATATGGGCCTTTTGGGCTGGTGTTGATTCTTCAACATAGGATGCTTGCAGAAGGAATTTCTATGAAAACATATCAAATTCAAATAGTTAATAAGTTGTGTTTTTTTTATAACGTTTCAGGTTCATGGGGATGAAAGCTGCTATATTTACAAACAATTCAAGTTTGAAATCTTTTGGTACCAAACTTAGTTTCAGCGTGTTCACAATCGACGGTTTTCATAAAAACAGTCCAGGCGACCCTGAATAACTAGTTGATTTTGGGGCATCTGAGTTACTTAAGCTGCTTGGTTTTCAAGAAGGGAAGACAGCGGAGTCGAGCCAGTATGATTTGGTTTTTGTTCAGTTACTTTTTAATTGATTGTCATTTTGTGTTTGAAATGTTTAACCAAACATAGTTTTTGCATTTATAAATCATTTAACCAAACATAGTTTTTATGTGGTAATCTATGTTGTTGCAACTGAAAACAATCCAACATTGGCAGGGCTGACTTTTACTGTTGGATGTGATTAAAAATGTAAGAATTTTTTTTTGTCATTTGTTATTTTACTGTTTGGCCTATGTGCTTATAAATTAGGGATTGATTAGATTGTATTTTCTCTCTCTGGGTTCTTAATAGCTTTTTGCTTCTGAAGAAACCTAATTGCATGTTCCTTTTCCATTTCCAAGCTTCTGTTATACTTTATGCTGCTGTATTTTTCTGTTTTCAATGAGGGTCGATTGAAATATGCATCAACTTGATTGATTATGCTGCTGTATTCTATCTCTCTGTATTTTTTCTTTTTCTCTTTTTAATGAGGCTTTACGCTGCTATACCAAAATGATGAAATATTCATTTTTAATATAGTTTTATAATTAGATGCGTTTTAATTCGGGGTTTTAATTTGATCAGTGTGATTTTTTGTGATTAGGAATTTAGGACTTTGGTAACTTGATTGATTAGGAATTTTTTGATTAGAAATTTGTGGGTTTGCCTCCTAATTAGTATTCAAATTTAGTGCATATAAGTCCCTTTCTTAAGAGGGATCTATTTTGATAAGAAACAAACTGTTGCATTCTTCGTTTTCTTGAATTTCTTTGGTTTTTGATGGGTGATTGAGTGGTGTTTGATTGAGAAATTTGGGGATTAGGGTTGGGTTGGGGTCTGTTTGGTCGCCTGGAAAATTTGGGAAGGAAAATGGGATCATGGGGTTTTGTTGATTTGTTGTTGGATTTGTGGGAATTGTAATTTCTGGTTGGAATTTTGTGTGTATTTTCTAAGGGACAAAAACTTCTTCACTTTTTTTTGGTTTTCTTAGCTACCAAAAGGGGAATATTTCATTTTCTTTTGTTTGTGTTTGTAGTGATGTAATTTAGGTTATGTTTATTGTGATTTTAAATCAAATGC